TATACTGTCCTGATGTGATAGCACGGTAATTCTAATCGATTTTTGTATCTCGAACGGGTATCTCCAGATTCGGCCTTCCTCCTCCTGGTATCATCCCACCTCAAGAGTGGCTTCCCCCTTCACTGTACCATAAAGCGCCGGAGAATTTATTTGCCTACACTTCTGTGTTCATGCGCCATTTATACGACGATCCAAACGGAATGGATGAGTCAACTGACTGGTGAGTTTTTCTTTTGGTGTCTAAATCCGCCCACTCGAACGATGGGTACCTGATGCAACGAACGATCTCTTTTTATCTCTACCTTTAAATGCGCGCTACGTATCGTCATTGCGTGTTTACGCTTCATTTCACAACTTTAACCGGCTTTAATCGAGTCGCGTTACAAAGGGTTTAATGAAACTACCCATTTCTTCGATAATGGTAGTGATAATTCTGCATAGTTTATGATATAACTGTTTTACTCGCTGAGCGCTACGATTTGATAAAGTTTGATGCGGCCTTTGTTTTCCCCTTTGAGCGGGAATTAGCGCAATTTATTGAATTTTATCCACTCTAAAATTTTTTGAAGAAACTAACCAAAACATCGTCGGTCTTGGACTTGGTATTAGCAAAAGAGAAAGGGATGGTAAAAGCGTTTTCTCCTGGAACCCGACTAGGGCGCATTGGCCATGATATATTGTACTCCGAATAAATTTCCTATGCATATTTTATACTCTATCGCAAATTTCTACCACCAACTCTTCAACGTTTATTGATTACACCAAACTTGAGAATTTGGTGCAACGCTTCCAATGGATTAACCACAACCAAGAATGGAACCCCTTAGGAGCAAGAATTGGCTAATCAGCTCTCAGAGACGGAGACAAAGAGCAAGCACATTACCTTCACAAGTGGTCAAAAATCGCTGATTCACAATCGAAAAAACAAGTCGATTTCACAAAGGACTTTCTCATTGAGAGTGTATAAGCGATTGCGTTGTAGCATTATGTGGTATACATACTGCATAGCTCCCATTACAACGAGACTGCACCATGACGTGGTGTGATAGCTTGTGTGCCTCAATGACCCTGTGAGCTATATAGGATAGCTCCCAACAGTCGCATATCCAATCATGCCTGAAAGGTCAACGGGTAGAGACCAGACGAAAGTCAGTCTCACAAAGCCAGCTGCCTGGGCACCCCCTGGCCTCTTTCTTCTATCCGCACCCGCCCCTGGAGAGGTCACTCCAGCAAATGAACACGGTGAAGGGCAGTTTACCGGTCAAAAAATGCCCGCTAGATGGATGTAGGGGTGCGGTACCGCTAAGTAGGCACCCACTCAGATGACCATCTTTCCCATCTGTCCAGTTCTTCTTCTCAACCCCGAATAATCTCAAATGACTCCTGTTTACGCCAACCATCGAATATCACTCAGCGTTTTACCATCAAGGCCAGAGATTCAGAAGCTATAGTATTTTTAAAGCCAAAATCCCCTTTTCACTTAACCGCGTTCAATGTCTGCACGCTCTATCAGATTGGCCAACAAGCTGCCCTGACTAGAACCCGCGAAACTTTCAAAATAGATGTATTTTGTGTCTCCAAAACATGCATACAAGACCCCATTTCCATTATCTCTCTGCGTTCTCCTGATCCAACTTCAACCTCAAGCTTCACCTTTCAGGCGATTCGGCATCCGAAGATCGCGGTGTTGCTGGTGTTGGGATTGCGCTAAGTGCCATGGCTGAGCACTCGCTTCTTGACTGCATTCCAGTCGGTAGCCGATTGTGCGCTGTACGTCTCAACGATTCAGCACAGGTGAATAGCTACAGAATGAAGCGTCGATGCTTATTCGTCGTATCGGCGTATGCACCGACCGATTGCAGTGTACCTGAAAGCAAGGATGAATTCTACAAAGACCTTTCTCAACTACTCCAAAGTGCTCGATCAACGGATGTTGTAATAGTCGCCGGACAATTCAATGCTCAAGTAGGATCCCTGGACGAATCGGAAAGGCTTCTTGGCGGACCGCATGCAATCCCAGCCAACCGGACGGACAACGGAGATCGCCTACCTCAACTCTGCACGGACCACGGATTGTTCAAGTCAAACACGAACTTCTCGCACAAGAAACGCAATCGACTTACATGGAAATCGCCAACCTCTTCACTGCGCTAGACCCAAATCGACCACATCGCTATCAGTTACCGCTGGAGTAAATCAATTCAAGACTGCAGCTCTTACTGGTCAAAGCTGTGGATACAGACCACGCCTTATTAGGAGCCAAGTTCTCCTCACGCCTAGCAAACAACCGCAAAAAGGCCACCGACAACGGATACCCACGATACAGTGTCAGCGATTTATGCAAATCGGCCTTCGAAGCGGCGCTCTCCGATCGCCTGTCAGTTCAACCACCAGCCGAAGGACTCAATGAACACTGGAAACAAATCAAGGAAGCTATGCAGATATCGATAAAAACAACGTCAGACCCTGCCTCAAGCTCAAGATACAAACGATGGATGTCATCGACCTCGGTTGCCCTGATGGGCACCCGCAAGACCCTCCCTCCCGATGAAACATCCGACACAGCGCGCAAATCCCTCAAACGCCAGCTCATCAAGAGCATGAAGAATGACCGCGAGAAGTGGTGGGTAGAGAACTGTAGAGAGATGGAGAAAGCAGCGGTTATTGCAAGTGGTCGCACGCACCGTCCGCGCAAAATGTTTCTTGAATCGGATAGCACCTGCCGATGGCAAACGGTTCTATCGTTGTTCAAGTCAAAATCAGCACCACTATCTTATTTCGCTTTCTACCCAAATGATCCGTTCCACTCTTCGTTTCAAATCCAAACGCATATTCTNCGGCCCTAGCAAAATAGGCGTGAGGGAGTTAATTAAGGTATCCGATGGGACACTGATTCACGATCAGCAACGTCGTCTTGACCGTTGGGTTGAACACTTCAAGGCTCAGTTCAACTGGCCCCCATCGACATCTTATCTTTCACTTTGCACCTCGATTGGCGAAATACTTCCAGTTGATGCTAGCCCTCTATCTGAAATGGAGGTTTCTTGGGGAATAACGTATCTCAAACGGCATAAGGCCACCGGACCTCATTGCCTGTCTCCTTCGACTTTAGGGATCGAGGTTAAGCCTCGGTCTTGGAGTTGACAAAACTCCTCGGCTAAGGGTGGGAGAGGGAACAGGTTCCAGCTAAATGGTGTGAATCGGTAATCATACCGATTTACAAGAAAGGTGACAGATCCTCCTGTGAAAACCACAGAGGAATTAGTTTAATCAACATTGCCTCTANTTTCAAATCCAAACGCATATTCTGGTGATACGGTACCAATAATTGTTGTAGCTTTCGCAATTTTCTGGCTTCCTACCCTTGAAATGACTGTTGTTTCTCTGTCTCTTCTTCCATTTCTTCCAAAGTCATTCGACAAGGCCTGTACCTATTTATTCATCATTTCGCGAAACCCGGCACACTTCTCTCTCTCCAGAAGGGTTTAACAACGCACGATTTCAAGCTGTTCGAAAAAGAAATTAGTGCTCTGCCGATGTTGATGAGATTCATCGTTTGGGTTTGTAATCGCGCATCCGGATCCGGCGTTGTGTTTATCGACATTTGGAAGGCTTCCTTTTTTAACGTCCAGTGTTCATTGACTCCAACAACTGTTGATTGAGCTGAGAGGTGATCAGATATTTGATTTGCAAATATCGCATTTTATTCCGGATATCCTGTTTCGTGTGGCTTTTTGCAATTGCTTGCCAAGCCTGCGCAGCTCTTGCTGGTAGTAGAGCATAGCCTGTGGCACGAATTGTCCGTCCGCTGTTCGGAATTGACTCTTAGTCTCATGCAACCAGTGAGACACACAGAACATAAACGGGACAGAATCTTATTGATTGGGAGCTTCCCAGGTTGGACAAACGGCAGTTGCCCAATGAGGCACCGAGGCTACTCTCACCATNATATTTAAAGGCAATCAGGAAGTGCCCAATCAGTTGACCTTGTGAGACTGAGCTCCATCTGACCTCTACCCATTGACCTTCCAGACGTGATTGAATCTGCAGCTTTGAGGAGCCATTCAGTGTAGCTCGCAGGGTCGTGGAAGCTCACGGGTCGTCACACGACGTAAAGGTGCGTTCTCGTCATGATAGTTTTCGTGCGTCATGAAATCCATCGTCACGCAGAATGGGATGGGTCTCCTGGATAAATACAAGATATTATCCCCCATTGTTACATTGGTTTCTTTACGATCAAGCACCGCTGAAAGCCTCTGACCCGAGAAGTATGGAAACAACCAGTTAGTTGTTCATGCCGATGCAGGTGACATGCGGTACTTCGATTTATCAAGGCATATGATCGTGGAAGTCATAAAATACTGTCGAGTAAACTTTTCCATGATAAAATTCGGGGACTTTTACAGGATGGAATAAAAGAATTTCTTCGACAAAGCAGCTTGGCAGTTCGGATTTCGGGACAGTTTCTGATACTGTAAACTTAGTCTTTGTGGGGGAGGGGGTCCATGTGGCTTCGTAATTGTCCCTCGATAATTTCCAGTTTTTGTCAATGGTCCACCGGACGTTCTGAATCCACAAGCGTTAANAATAATGTGACAAAACCTGAAGGCTCACTGGCAATTCAGAGAACACTTACATTATCAATAGTTGATCTAAACCGACACCGAATTTTATGCATCAAAATTTACTTTCATATCCCTTCGCCACAATACTCAATGTCCGCACTTCCTGGTTTTGTGAGGTACTATGTACATTTTTGAATAGCTGGCATGAACCAAGAACCGGTTTTTAGATTCCGACAGTTTTCCCGTGGGTTAAAGTATTTACTTTTGCAATTAAAATTAAAAGAGAATTTCACACTGGTCATCACCGATAAAGAGATAATCACGAAAATGCTAACCAATTGTTACAAATTAGAGATTTCGTTATATGTTGCCTTATTTATCCTTATCCGATTCTATTCTCTCTCGCCTCGGCACTGCCTTGTGTATATTTAACACTGGGATAAAGAAAGCTTCCATAAGCCTCGAATGAGAAGAATCTTGGTGTCGTTGTTCACGACAACTAAGTTGTCCTATAAACTGTTTCAGGTTATCGTCTCAAGCTCTAAAAAATTTCGGTTTTCTAAACGATCATTTGGCAAATCTAAACCTGCGCTATTCCTACGTTTTTTATCAGTCCAAATTCGACTCCACATCGAGTGTGCCATCCAAGCTTGGAATCCATGGCTGGAACTCTAACCTGGAACATCCCCAAAGAATTTTCATCAAGATCCGAGACCTAATTGGTAGGAACTGCAATCATAAGGGTAGTAATCCACCCAATATCGTCGAATTCGAGGGGACTTGATTTTGGTTTGCCAAATAATGCAGTGCCCTGACCATCCATATCGTGCACTCTTCGTCTTTTGGCCCAACTTTCACTTCAGGAGGCATCCAAAACTATCGACTAGCACTTTGGTGTCATTCTGTTGCATAGTTATATGAATTATCTACAATCTCACGTTATTTCTGCGCCCACAGTCGATTCTCTCAAGCACAAACTGTATGGAACATGGTCATATCTTAACTCTCGATGTCCGGCGCAGTACACGAAACAGTAAAACTTTGTATCATTCCTCATCTCTCTTCAATCGATCAGTCAATCCAGTTGCACCAAAAACCCTATGGAACAAGAAAACCAACCGCTTTTGGGTATTTTCTTTAATAAAACTTTGTTTCTAGTGAACTATGTTGTCTGTCATATATAATTTCAAGGTGATCTTGCAGTCCACTTTTATTTAAACCCAATGCAATTTTCGTTGCTATTGAAGTGTATGAAACTATCCAATTGCTGCATGCAGTTTTACCGTTTCGTTGCCACAAGGACTACTGTTTTTTCTTTCATTTGTTCACAAGACCTTCGAAAATTAAATCAGAAAAGTTTTCTTATACGGGACATACACAGTATTTTTCATTTGCCGCTTTTAAACACTCCACAGCTGGTCTGACGGCCTACCGAAGGAGAGTCTTTGTGTTCCCGCGGTTCTCTCCCGCGTTGCCATAATGGCTCTGATCCGAAACAAAGTACTGGAATTCGAGGATATTAATGGAGTTCATAGTCGAACGTTTGAGGTTAGTTGCTACGCTGAGTTATCTCGGCTTTCTGTTCTTATGGGATGTATTCATAGTTTTATAGAATTCCATTAGTGAATTATTTTTAAGTTTTAGCTCGTGTTCGGATCAGTTATCATGCGTGATTTTTATGTGTATTTAAGTTTCACTGGTGATAATGAAACCGCGATCTGTTTTCTCGATTGAGTTACTGCACCAGTATAAACTGAAACCATGTGGAAAATTTCCGATTATCGATCACGACTACTTATATTCTGTCAATTCCTTTTCAATGTGTCTATCCGTGTGGTGGTGGCGCAGTGGTTTAGTCGCTGTCACCGGCGTATTTTGGATACTATGGTCCGAGGTTAGAGTCCCGCCACCGCCACCCAATTTGGTGGTGTGCAGCTTTGCTATCTTTCAGTTCAATTCCGATTTCCATCACTAAACAGCAGATCCTCGTGAATATGGAGCTTTTCCCGTCCGTCGTTCACCACACTAAAGTGTAGTATAAGAAAGTGATGAAGCTCAGTAGGATTCCGGTCTTTCTCTTGTTAGTTTCAATGGTTTGTTTGCTAACTAAGATGTGCACTATTATTCATTGAACTGATGAGGAATTAAGGTAGTGGACGTGTGACACGGAACCGTTACCAACCTTGCGCCGACTGCATCGATCGATACGCACCAGTTGACCCCAACCCTGTGGTTCACCCAGCCGATCAGAATTTGACCTCTGTCATTCGTCCACTGTCTCCCGGTTCATAGTGGGTCAAAATGGACCATCGCAACAAGTGCAACACAAGGATTAAGAGTATGTGGTTTGTTGACGTGCGGAAAGGATGTCAAGTCGGGCATTGCCTGCAATCACTGACGGAAAAGTTTGAAAAGCTTCTATCGGCAGCGGAGCAAAATGCGAAAGAAAAATTCACTTCTTTGGAAGAAAAGATAACTGCTTTGAGCGCTCAATCTTCCCAGTCCAGTTCATAGACCCACAAAAAGACCTCGTTGTTTTCTAAAGAGCCTCACTACAGCGTTTCCAATACTCAGTCTCGAACTCGACGGCGAAGCTAAGTCAGCACAGGATAATGCCAGAGATCAAGAGTTGGCACAAATCATTGAGCCTAAAGCTCAAATTATCCAGGAGCACAATCCAGTGACGAAGATTAAAAAAGTAATTTACAACCCCGAAATGACAGTTAGTTGCGCCAACGTGCCAGAGCCCACAACAAATGCACTGAAGGAGAAACAAGTAGAGGAGCTTAATCGCTGGGCTGATTTATGTAACCAAATGGGCTTCAACGTTCACCCAGTTGGAATCGTGCGGCTGTTTCGCCATCCATCGTCGCCGCATCCTGGGGAGGCACGATTGACCCGCTCAACATTTTCAGACGAGAAGGATCTGGAGAAAGTTTTTCCGTCTAGTTACCTTCTAAAGAAAGATTCGTGTAGAACAAGAATGATTCTAGATAGGCCCTGGACGGGGCGAACATAATACCACACTAATCCGACAAACGCACGGCAATCGGAGAACAAACGGGTTGTTCTAATTTATGGAGTCCCTCAACTGGACGATCCAGACGAATCCCTATGCCAACAAAACGACTGCAAGGAATGGAGTTTCATTCGAGAACTGGAGCTGGAATCAGCAGCTATGTGCGAAAACATCCGGCAACTATTCCAGCTCATTCGTGCTACAGGCCCCAAAAGACAGTGCGTTAGTGAAACAATCTGCGAAGTAGACGGCACACTAATAAACAGGCTTCACCGACGATTGGAACGCTGGGCGGAGCACTTCATATCGCAGTTCAACCAGGCCCAAGCGGCTCTTTTGAAAATGCACTGGCCACTACCCTCGGGAATGCCCACAGAAGCGGAGATCCGAAAGGAACTCCAAGCCCTGAAACGCCACAAGGCAGCTGGATCTGACGGCCTGCCACCTGCTGTCTTTAAAGATGGTGGAGATGCTCTCGGAAGAGAACTTGTGAGACTGTTCTCGAAGATCTGAAAAACTTAAAGTGTACCCCACACATGGGGAGAATCGATTGTCACATCCATCTACAAGAAGAGCTGTCACAACGCCTTTTCCAACCACATGGGCATAAGTCTGATTCCAATAGCACCGAAGCTGCTGGCGTCCATTTCATAACGCAGGTTATGCCCATGGGAAGCAAGTCCGCGAGGAGCATGCCAGGTTCCGTGCGTAGATCAAATCTTCACCCTCCGTCACCTACCAGAACACCGCCACGCATACAGACGACAAACCATTGTCGTGTTTTTAGACATCAAAGCGGCTTTCGACTCTATCGATCGCCCTGCACTATGGGACTGTTTGCGGAGATACGGAGTACCCGAGAAGTATGTCTCACTCCTAAAAGCGCTCTATCACCGGATCTCGGGAAAGGTTAGGGCCTGTGGTGAGTTTTCACCCTCATATCCTGTCACCAGTGGGGTGCGACAGGGTTGTCCTGTCTCTCCGTTTTCCACTTTTCCATAGATAATGTCCTACAAAACGCGTTACACAACGTAACGAACGCTGGCGTCAAGCTTCTTCCTTGGGATAGAGTCGTAGACTTAGAGTATTCAGATGATATTACCTTACTGGGTGACAACGCACCAACGACTCAAGTCAAGTCAAATTTAGCTTTATGCACCTGTAGGGTGAATTTTTAGCGATTTTTCACGATAATACAGTGGAGCTGACGTGAATGGCCTCCGAGTGTGAATAGGTTAATTAAAAAAAATTAAAAAACGACAGAAAACTGAACGCAAGAAGACGATAGTGACGGATAAAAAAACGAATAACTAAACTAACTCATGAGGTGTTCAACCAAACCTGTAATAATAGGTGCCCGATTTACTAGAAAGCGAGCAAGAAAAGGGAGGATGCTGTTTCTGTATGCGACGGTGCATGCGGGAAGCAGTCTATAATGAGATCCGGTACGGGGGTTTGACATGGATTTAGTAAGTTCTTTGTGCAAGCAGTGATCTTCGTTGTTCAAGATTCCGTCAACTTTTCTTTCACATTCGTCGATATGTTTGCACACAATAAAATCAACCAGAACTTCTCTGACTATGCTGCTACATCGAGAAAGGAATGTAACAGACCTGGAGATTAATACGAAATCTTTTTCTTTTAAACCGGGAAAAATACAGGGGAACAGTAGAGCCAATGAAGGAGGATGCATGCCACCACGAATTTTAAAATTACGTTTGGGGGAACAGCGAGCTTCCTAAGCCTGAAAGCATAAGAGAGATTACGGACCTTATTGTAAACGTTCTCAACATGTAAGGTCCAAGAGAGGTTGTGGGATATAAAGACTCCGAGGTATTTAACAGAGTCAGCTTTGGGAATGCTGTGACTGTTGACTATTAGATCCGGTGAATTATTATAAAACGTAGTTTGATAGTTGGAGCCAGATTTAAGGCTGTAGGGAACGTCGACACATTTGGAAACATTAAGCAACAGGCATCGGGGTAATGACCATAAACGTCATTCAGGCTGCTTTGAGGTTGATGGAAAGAAGCATCACTATTGGAGGGGCACCCAATCACCGCATCGTCGGCATACTTACAGGCGATAAAGTTGGTGGGGACAGGCAGGTCGTTTATGTACAGGGAAAAAAGAAGGGAGACAAAATGGCGCCCTGGAAGGCACCAGAGTTAACAGACGAAGAGGACGACTTTTACCATCGCATGAGGTAAATTGTGTCCTAGGAGAGAAGTAGTTGACAAGAACGTTTAATTCGTCGGATCCTACGCCGCAGTCAGCAGGACGTTGAATGAGAATGCGATGGTCAAGCGAACCAAAGGCGTTGGCGTAGTGAGGAAAATATGGCGAACAGTTCCAGCACTTGTATCAAGAACTGCGGCAACAGAATGGACTACATACGCCACAGCGTCAACAGTCGAATGGGATTTCCTATAAGCAAACTGAAGAGGATCAAACACATCAGAGAGGGTAGTCAAACGCTTCAACAGCACTCCTTCTAAGACCTTCAATAGGGCTGAGGTACATGCAATCGGTCGATATTTTGAAGAACCCTTCTTGGGAATGGGTCTTATCCGGGCAACCCTCCAATAATCAGGGATTGTTCCAGAGGACATACACAAATTAAACAACTCAGCGACGGCTGTTGCAATGTGTTCGGTACAGGTTTTCAATAAAATAGGAGCTAATGAGTCTGGTCCGTGGGTCTTGTTTGACTTAAGTTGCTTCAAAACTCTGATAACCTCGATCGGGGAAACAGGTTTGGTGATTTCTGAAGAATTGAAAACGGACGGTAGAGAATTGGACCCAGAGGAGGCAGAAAATTGTCGGTTTAATTCTTCTACGTCAGGACAGGAGCTGCCGCGTGTGCTACAGAATTGCTTCAACGCCGACCACATCTCGCGACGGTTCTGGTTACCCAGGATGTTTTCAACATACACCCGATTCAGGCGCTGAATCTCTGCCTTGATGATAATCGAGAGTCGTTTAACATCGTAGCGCCTGTCATTCGTATATGCCTTCTCCTTATTACGTCGAAGGCGTTTTAGGAGAGGCGATGAGAATCTGTCGGTACGAATATATGTTGTCTCGATCGGGCAAAAAAAATCAAAACAGAAATTAAGGTAGCCGGTTAGGTATTCACATCTGGAAGAATTATTTGAATTGGAGGAGACAGAAAAATTGGTTGAAGAGATCATATCTTGGAGTCGAGATAAGTTATCATGTGTAAAATTCCTCCTTCGTATTGTTCGGGATGCTACCTTTGCTTGTTGACGATGAAACATTTTACCACAGATTTTTAGGTGCCAAAGAATTGTACAGTGGTCGGACGTGCTAATTGGGGCTCGTTTTTCTATAAAGAAGACATCTGGGATATTTACAAAAATGCCATCAAGCTGGGCCTCCAAACGAGTGAAAAAATGCACAAGATTAACCAAACCTCAAGTTTCCAAGAAAGAAATATCGAAACGATTAAAATCACCAGCCACAATACACAGTGACTGGTGCAAGCCTGTCGCGAATTGTGTTGAAAAAGAGTCGGAAAACATTCGAATACCAGAAATGGGCGTGTCAGAAGCAATGTAAATGTTTGCTAGCAGGATATGATTAAAAGTACTAAGAAAACGGGGTTTACATTGAACGACAATGCAGTTGATTTTCCTGGTATTAAAATGAAACTGAAGATGAGAGCTGGTTCACCACATACGGTTGACGAAAGGGACTACTCCACCACCTCTTTTATTGAAGTTCACAATCCAATCATCTCGAAAGATATCAGATCCTTCAAGCAGTACAATGCCGTCCTCAATGTCAGGATGTAACCAGCTTTCCTGGAGCATAATAATTCCAAAGTTTTTGCACACTTTTTCATGTAACATACTCTTGACTTCATCAACTTTTCCCAGGAGTTACTGGATGTTACTGGAGATAATAACAGGTGCCGTCAGTTTATTGATGGAACGCTGACTGAGAGCGACCCTCCAACCAGCGCGATGTTTTATTTGTTGTCCTTGCCCCTTCTTCCTCAATCGGTTGTAGCGGTTTTGCACACAATGCTCAAAACGTGAAAATTGGAGTTCACACGTGATAAAACGGTGGGAGATCAAAAGTGTGCGGCCGTAGGACAGCATTTGACCTTGAGAATTGAACTAATTGATTTGATAAAATGTGTTGAGGATAAAACGCAGTTTTCCACTGTAAAATTACGAGAAAATCAGGTGGCCGATTTTGGCACGGCTGAATTCAAAAGCCCCGCGCATAACGACTCAAGAGTCGTTGAACCGTTTGGTTACTCGTTATGATATGTCATTTGCACCTCCAAAGTGCAAAGTGTTGTTGCAAGATTGGCAGGAACCCATTCCTGCACTTTCGTTGGGTAATGACACTCTGGAAGGTTTGTCTACCTTGGGAGTTGTATAACGGCTGGCGATGTGGGTGGGCAGATCTCTCAACTTGTGATCCAAGCTAGATTAGGGTTTGCTAATCTGCGGTATCTCTGATGTCGGCACAACATATCCCTTTCACTGAATGGGCGTGTGCATTCCGCAACGCTACGCACCGTGTTCCTCTATGGCTACGAGACCTGGCCTCCCCGAGCAGATCACCTCCAGCGACTATCAGTCTTCGACAACCGTTATCTGCGCAACATCGCCCGCGTATGGTGGGAGCATCGCGTGAATAACGATGAAGCCAGACGACGGGTGCTAGGACCAGGTAGTCTTCCTACGAGAAAAATAATTTCACAGCATCGTCTTAGTCGGCTAAGGCACGTCCTGTGAATGCCTGAGCACCGTCTACCACACCGTGCACTATTCGCAGACATCGGTCCAGGCTGGAAAAAATAGCAAGGTGGGCGGGCAGGCTATGACGTGGCGCAGAGGCTTGAACAGATTGTGCTCGGATCTGGCTTCCGTTGGGTTTCCTCGGCTCCCCGGTTGGGGCCTCAAAGATTCAGATTATCTTTGGCTGGGGACACTGCGGGATATAGCATCGAACCGAAGTCAGTGGCGCGAATGCATCCTGTCTTGTCTGCAATTCCAAAAATAAACAAAAAATGAAAAACTTAAAATGGCGTGCAGTAAACAAACGAAAAAATTGTTCCTCCTCGATGTTGATTGTTTTACTTTCCACCCAAGGTGAAAACTCAGAACAGCCACCTTGATTGCCTGTATCACTCATTTGCAGTCGAAGTGTGCGGCGTATGGAATTCTCTTCCATCTGATGTAGTGTGTGCTCCTACAGCTGAAATATTTAAATCGCACCTTGATAAAACACTGGCACCGAAAATTTCAACATCCGTGAGTGGTCATGCAGATTTTTATTATTATTATTATTTTCTCTTTGTGAAGTTATTCAAAATATTCTGCAAAAATCCTAGGGGGCGTGATAGGCTTTATCTTTTTTAAATCACCCATAATAAAACTTTGACTGTGACTCCGGTAATCACTTGCACAATAAACATTTTCCGGTGGAATGGATACCCTGAAAAATTCATCGAAGAATTTCTGAACCTGAAAAACAACGTTCCTGAGAAATGATTGTTTATTACTCTACGGTGTCAGTAAATTCTTCAAAGGCCATGCAGTCCATTTTTTCCTTCTGAAATAAACGTTTTATGCTCATTTTGGTCAGTGCTCAGGGCTCAGAGATCGACATCTGTCATCAATCCTTTCTGTATTCGTCAGCTCGCCTGCCTTTGCGCAGCAGATTACATTGATCAAACCATTCGTCAATTGACCAAAAGAATTCGCGTGAATCATCAGACCCGGTTGAGAAAAGAACTAAGAACAGTTATCCGTAGCTCAATAGTGAAGCATATGGTCAAAATGGGTGTTTCGGTAATCTAGAAACGTTATTTAAAGTAACCTCCAGGACCCCAATAAATCCTTTTAACTAACCAAGTCGAATTATGCAATGAACAACTATTCGGATTCACCATCCCGAACTGTGTGAACAAAAGCCTATTATCCACACCTTAGGTTGTCATCGCCTGATGACATGATATGATAAACCCTTGGTCCCATTCCCACCCCAGTCTTATGGTAAATTCTGATTTTTGTTGTCACCCTGAAAGTATAATCGATTATAGTTCATTGCTTCAGTTATCTCTTCAAAAGTAAATAGGTTTTATGAAACGCTTTTAACATATCCAGGTGTATAATCTGACTTTTTGATGAATTTAGTCCCGCTGATTCTTGAATTTACTAACTGTTTGTTGCTATCATTTCATCGCGGAGTTATACAGGCCCTTTGCTCAGTCTTTCCTACATTTTGTGATTCTTTACGAACAGGCTGTGAGCACACGATTCAAGTTCACGATTCACGAAGGTGGCCTCACTCTTCTACGCCCCACATGGCACGAAGAATGGCAGCGTATTAATCGAATCGTGAAAACAGTGGCCACAAATGTACAGTCGTGGAATTCGGCCACGAAGAAACGGGAAGAGGCCATGTTTCATCTCCAACACATATGGCATTCCAGACACGACTATTGGTTGCTTGCAGGCATACATGTACACGGCTATATGCGCTGGACTGACATTTTGGCTGATCCGCGATTTCATCTGTTATGCACTGGGATTGAAGGTGTTCTAGAAGATCTGGAACGAAAGGATGCTACCGTTCCTCCAGGTTAGTTTGTTTATCTTTCACTTCCTTAACTAACTTCTGTACTCTAATGCTACTTAAATGTCACAGTCTATCTCCCATGTAGTTCAGTGTATTCACCCGTCGTGCATAGGGCCACGAATCTTTTTTGAATCTTCAAACAGTTCCATAGAGCTTTTTCAGTTTTGAACAGCTATTAACCATGGACTTTCGTGCATCGATTTTCGTTGTTGTCTTTTGGCTGCCCATTTGGATGAACATGAGGAGAAGGACAGGAAAGGTTGAAAGTAGGATCGGGGAGAAAATGGAGCAAATCAGTGGTCTACGCATAAAAACCAAATGAGAAGATGCACGAACGCCACTGTTTACGACACCCAACCATACTACTGTGTCTCTAACCATCGGGTATGATCATCCCGAGGTCCCCATCCAGGGAGCCTAACGGGCCCTAGGTGACCCAGACTCCTGGTCAGGGTTTTCATACACTCATGCCAGGTCCTAGCTTGACTACCCTTGACTTTCTCCCACCCAACACTTGTCTCGGCGAACATAGCTCGCCGTGGCAACCTGTCTGGTGACATGCGTAACACATGTCCCAACCAACGTAATCTATGGAGGTCGATCACTTGCTCCAGTGGGCGACCGCGGATACCCAAAGCTCTGCGCCTTTCCTCAGCATTGCTCGTCCGGCTGCCCCACCAGATTCGTGCAACGCTGCGTAGACAGCGGTGTTCAAACACCAACAGTCTGTCTTTGTCCTGTTTATTTCCTAATGGCCGAATTTCTGCGCCGTATAGCAGAACTGGCCGATCCTTCGCAAACAATCGGATGTCATGACGGCGCCACAGATATCTCAAGTTGGCAAATGCCAACCGAGCTTTTTGTATGCGAGCAGACACTTCATCCGTGATGCGTCCGTCGAGTGACATGTAGCTGCCCAAGTAGCAAAACCTATCCACTTGCTCTATTAATTCAACAGTTAGGGTGAGGCCGGGTGCTGGACCATCCCAGTCTTGCAGTACCATTTTACACTTTGATGGTGCAGAACGCATACCGAGCCTGGTTACACTAGCACTCAAACAATCTGGAAAGGCTTGCGACTTACCTGGATCTTCACATAGTAGCACAATGTCGTCTGCATACTCTAGATCAGACAGCCTGTCACCTGAGGCTAAATCGATGCCACTATCCTCGCACGACGGTAGGACTGTGTTCCATATTAGTGTAGAGTAATCGTTATAGTGAAATAAACTTCTCGGGCACACTCTTCAGGGAAAGGGAGCGCCAGAGTTGAGAGCGATCGAGTGAGTCGAAAGTCGCTTTCAGATCCGGGAAGGCAGAGATGGTGGGTCTACAAAAAGAATGTCAATGCCCCAGAACTTGGCGGAGAGTGAAGATGTGATTGATACAACCTCGACCGGGTCTAAAACCAGCCTGGTTCTCACGCGTGCACCGTTCACGTGCGGCAGACAATCGTCGGAGTATGATGGCGGCGAGAAGTATAGAGGCAATGTTGATTAAACTAATTCCTCTGTGGTTTTCACAGGAGGATCTGTCACCTTTCTTGTAAATCGGTATGATTACCGATTCACACCATTTGGTTCGAGCCACGAATGTTAATGACTGCGATTATCAATTCAGAGTGCGCTTGAGAAGTAATCATATAAGTGGTAGCATTCATAGTGAAATCAGAGATTAGCGGCAACCTATCCTTTGATCTTGGAGTGCCGAGGCACATGTTCCCGATGACTGGACGGTGATTTTTACTCGAACGACGGTAGAACCGTCTGCCATCGTCAGGTGCTATCCGATTGAGGAAAGATTTCGGAGCTGACGCTGGGTGCTTGGGATCGGAAGGGAATTAAGTTCACACAA